GCGCACCCGGGATCCGAACCCGGGCCGCCGGCAGCGGAGAGCACGCACTTAACCGCTAAGCCACGGGGCCGGCCCTAAATGTGTAGTTTTAAAAATTCTATTAAAATTCAAAATAGATCATCCTTTATTGAAAAACCAATCAACAAATATGTCAGACTTGCTAATCTTGCTGTTTACCTGTTTGCGTTGGGCTTTACTGTGCCCAGAATTGTTATCAGCATGCGAGGCATGACTCCTCCAGGCAAAGGCAGGTCATAAGGCACAGTCTGGGAATAAAAAATATATATGTATCAGTAAAGAGTCGTGTTTTCTTGGGGAAAGAAAGAAAAGGATGTTGCTAAAGTTCAATCACTATTAATATGGGTGACTAATACATAACCCTAATGCAAGCCATCTTTCCAGACTCTCAGTCCCTCTTGCCCAGGGCCTGAAGAGATAAGGCTGCCTACGTGCACAACTTATAATTGGTGCCAAAGGCAGAACATAGTCCCTTTTGGAGCACTGTATCTCTCCTTACTAGGGCCATCCCAATCTATAACTCATTCACTTAGACTGTTTTTTAGAAAGGCTTAAGCCAGACCTCGCAGTCAGCATTAACATTTTTGTGCCACTCTTAAGACTCCTTGTCACATAACATACTTCATGGTGGTGGTTCTGCTCCCAGACGGCAGGCATTGTGTCATGTTCTAGGGCTTCTGAGTTCTCATACTGTCTACTCATGTGACACCAGCAGAGTGCTTTGAATGTGGCAGATATTTGATATTCGCGGAACGGACACTTTCCAGTTAGTACCTTCCCTAGTTCATTCTGCAAATATTTATTGACCCTCTGTGTTCCAGGTGCTGTGAATACTCCCAGAGCTCTCTTTGGCCTCTTCTCTTTTCCCTTTATAATTTCCCCCTGGGTTCAACTATCACCCAAGTCTTTTCTCTCTAGCCCTGATCTGTGCTAGTCCTGTACTTCCTCCTGCCTGGATTTGCTCCCGGTGCCGCAAATCCAACAGGCGGGAACTGGAATTGTCTCCCCCGTCTCGCCCCCTTCAGGTCTCCTTCCTGAGTTCCCAGTTTGGACTGACCCTTGGCTGGTGCTCTAGTTGTCCAGCATTGAAAAGCCAGAGTCGTCTCTGACTCCTACGACTTCCCCACTAGATCCTGGGGTTCTTCCTCTGCAAGCTCTCCCACATCTGCATCTTCCTTTCCACAGCCTCCGTGTCCCCCTCTGTCTGCACCTGACTAACCTGTGCTCTAGGCCCTGCTCAGCGCCACCCACACCCCCAATGCTTTCTCTGCGCTGATGCTACCTGTGCCGTCTTCTCCATAGTCCTGAAAGGGTCTGACCCACACTGTGATGGAACTCTTTCCTCGTGTCTGCATCTACCTCCCAACTAGGCTAGACATCTGAAAGGGAAGGATCTGTCTGAGACATGTCTGGAGCCTCCCAGAGTTAGGTTTTACACTTAGAATTCATTTACTAAAGTGTGTTTTAATATAAATGAAAATTCAATCCTTAGATCGCAAAATAATCTTTAGAACGTTTTTTAAAACTAGATCGCCTTGGTTCCCCCACATGTTCCCTCCATGACCCTGGGCAAGTTATAGAACTCTGGATTGCTCCATCCCCACCATGGAAGATGGGGATAATAACACCATCTTAGGGGGTGGTTATAGGATACCTGAGCTCATCCGTGTAGAAGCACACTGCTGGCACGTGTTATGTACTCAGTGTTTATTAATAATAATGGCCAAAACTTCCCCCATTACTATGATTTTAACTTGATTTATACTAAAGCTGCTTTACAGATGCCTTCAAAAGATGCATTTGCTTCTCTTTATACTAACAGTACACATACTAAACTCAGTACAAACAACTATTTTTTCTATTGGACCGACATACACCATGGCTGGTCCTTGAAAAAGTGGCTTTAAGCCATGAGTTTAAAGCTTCAGTCTCCCTGAAGCCCTCTGCAGGTCAGTGCCAGAGCCAGCCCCCAGCCAGAGCACTGCAAAGTGCTGGCACCACCAGTCCAGGCAATTGCTGCATTCTTCATTAGCTTTGTCCTGATTACAATCAAGTATATGGAATGACTAACTCCATCCTACCAGTGGTCCGGCAGGAACGCCATAGGGGCCGGCAGCAGGGTAGGCTCCAGGAGCATGTGGTGGTCCAGGAGGCGGGTAGGCCCCAGGCCCACCTGGTTGCCCAGGGTAGGCTCCTGATGCATTTGGTCCAGGATAAGCAGGTGTTGTTGAGCCAGGGTAGGGGCCAGGAGGTGCCTGTCCAGGGTAGGCCCCAGGATAGGAGGCCCCTGGGTAGCCCCCTGCCCCAGCAGGCTGGTTTCCCCATGGACCAGGCCATCCTTGAGGGTTTGGGTTTCCAGACCCAGGTAAGGCATCATTAAGCTGAAAAGAGAGACATAAACAATTACAGAATGAAAAACATTCACAAAAACAGAATTTTTAGGAAAAGAGAAATATGTGATCTAAGAAGTAGAGGGATATGGTGAAGATATGAAATTCACATCAAAAAACTTTTTCCACTGATAAATAGTTTTGAGTTCCTAAGATTAAAATTAGACTTTGGGATTACACATGCTTTATCACTTCATTCTCACCTCTCATCAACTCAGATCATGGAGGGTTGCATTTTCATAATCTGCTAAAGTTGGGAGCGAGCTGTCCTCTGTAAAAGCACACACTTTCTAGCTGACATGAGAAAAACAATCACAGACAGCAGGACGCTCAGCCTGCACCACATTTCCCATTGCTCAGTTTATTTTTCGGCTCCTGCCGGTGGCCTCCACCTGCTTCTGTCCCAGGTGAAGGGGTTACCACTGCTAGTGAGTCCCAGGCCTCTCTCGACCGGGCTTCCTTCCTGAATCTGTGGCTAGAAAACAAAACTCCAGCTAACAAGCCCTGACTGGACACGTGAGGCCAGCGGAAGCCACATGGTGGCAGAGCTAGCAGGAAAGTCTGGTGGTAAAAAAAAAACAAACCTCAACCTATGTGGAACGTATATCAGGGCAGGAAAACAGACATCAAACGCTTACCGAAAAACCATCTGCCATTTTCCTGAGAGGAGAAAAAAAAAGATGTTATCACATGATCCTAAAAGATTTCACCGGTTTCCATATAAATTTAACATCACAAATAGTTCATTGTGCAGTTCTAGTCAACCTACAGGCATTCTTCTAACCCAAGCCAGTCCATTCCCCAAATACGCCTATATCAATAGTGTGGAACCACAAGAGTGTCTTGTCAAAGGGCAGCAGGCACTCCAGCTGGATCACCGAGCCCCATTTAGCTCATAACTTTAAACTCTAACCACAGGAGCCTGTGTTCCAAATCCTGGGAGTAACAGGCCATACAACGCAGGAAGGAGGAGAATAAGGAAGAAAACATTCTGCCCCATCCCTCAGTAACAAATAGACACAGTCTTGCATTTATCTTTGGTCCTCCTTCACCTGCCTTCCTGTGCTCTTTTCCACCACGTCTTATTTTTTTCTTATTTTTATTTATTTTTTGTGTGTGTGAGGAGATCAGCCCTGAGCTAACATCTGCCAATCCCCCTCTTTTTTTGCTGAGGAAGACTGGCCCTGGGCTAACATCTGTGCCCATCTTCCTCCACTTTATATGGGACGCCGCCACAGCATGGCTCAACGAGCAGTGCGTCGGTGCACGCCCGGGATCCGAACCGGCAAACTGCCGGCCGCTGCAGCAGAGCGCATGCACTTAACTGCTTGCGCCGCCGGGACGGCCGCTCCACCACCTCTTACAAAGGGTTCAGTGTGTTGATATCGCCACCTCCCCTCCCAGCCCCACAAGCTGGTCCATGTCTGGGTTTTAGGAGGAAAGCAGAGTTGGTCTATTCCCGCTGAGATTTGAAAGACATGCCACCCACCCCCCCAAGAAGTAATTGCTGCCGATTATTTATTCCTTCATTTGCACACATTTACGCCTGCTCTGGGCCAGGCACTGTGCAGGCTCCTATCTGCGTGTGAGGAGGGACAGGTCAAGATCCACACGGTCCAAGGGCCCACAGGCCCCAGGGACCACAAGTGATCAATGCTGTGAGTCAGACCGCATGTCGTGGAAAGTGACAACTGGATCAATTACTTCTAAAAGGGAAGTGCTGTTTGAGCTAAGACTTAGAGGAAAGCTGAGATTGGGATGTGGAGAAATGAAGAAGAAAAGCGGGCATAAGGTGCTTGTTTTTTGTTTTTTTTTTTTTGAAGATACTTGTTACTGCAAATGAACTCTATGGCAGTATAACAAATAAGGTTAAAAACAAAAAGTCAGGCAATGTGGAGAAAATATTTTGGGGTAGGATGCTACCAAAAAGGGTTGGCCTTGCCCAAAGCTGCCTCATGGGGTGGCCTTGAGACATCACTCTTGCTTTCTCCTGCTGCTCCCCCTGTGCCAAGTCCCTAACCGCACACACGATGTTTCACACCTGCTCCCACGGGAGACACTCCAGCAGTGAGGGGAGGGGGCTGCTTCAGACTCCTGAGGCCGGGTGAGTTTTCTCAGCTCATGATCACCTGTGCTACGGCCAAAATTCCCTGGACCTTAAACAATCAGAATCTCTTTTTCCTTGAGTTACCCACTTGTGAAATTTACTCAATTATTTTAAGAAATGACATTTTCCCAAGGGATCCAATAAATGGCAACTACCGGATAGGTCCTAAAAATGTAAAATATTAGATTTTTTGGTAGAAACTCAAACAGGTAGAGCTCCTTCTAGGACTTAATGTGTGCTTCATTTACACACACCAGATATTTTATCCTACTCTGCTGTGACTTAGATCACAGTTGAATATTACTTTCCACTAATTTCTTTTTGCACGTCTCTTTTTTAACTTGGGCATTCTCAAACATATTTGGAAGCAGTTAGGTTATCACTGTGCCCATCTTCCCAGGTGGGAAACTGCTGGCAACTTGACTGGGAAGTCACAGGGGCTCTTCCGGGCTCACAGTCGCTGTATTTCCTACAGCATTTGACCTTTTCAAGCAAGAGTCCGTGCGCCTCTGCTTGTGCCTCCTCCCCCACAGGCGGACACGCCCAGAGAATGTGCCACGGCCGCAGAGGAACTGAGAGCAGAGCAGTTACAGAAAAGGAAGAGGAAAGACATTTCCTCACTCAAGACAGTAAAAGCCTCACTCATTGTGGACACCAGTAGGAAACAATCTTGACCTTCACACGGGGCAGAGAGCTGGGTTCCTTTGACTAGACAAACTCTTCTTCCACCCCTGGGCAGCACACCCAAGACCCAGCAAGAACTTGATGAGTGTTCTGACTTGTTTTAAACACAAACCCCCCACTGTGTAGGGCCGCTTCCCAGCCTCAGCACCACTGACGTTTCAGGCCGGACACTTTGTTGTGGGCGCTGTCCTGTGCATTACAGGATGTTGAGCAGCATCCCTGGTTTCAACACAGAAGGTGCCTGTAGCCCGACAGCCCTGCCTCAATTGCGACAATCAAAAATGTTTTAAGACCTTGCCAAATATCCCTGGAGGAGGGGGAGAGGGCAAAACACCGCCTGGTGAGAACCCTGGTCTCAGCTGCCGTGCGTCCCCACGTGAACGTGCACACAGGTGGGCACATGCACAAGGAGTGCCGATTGTCAACCCTAGCTAACTCTGCCCCACAGCCTCATCAAGGGTCCCAGCAACATGACTCAGAGCAGACTAAGATGTGTTTAAAAGCTGATTACACCCAGACTCACGTAAAGACAGCATTTCCAAAATTCAACATTTATTCTTTTCAAAGTCTCTGCTCGAGTTTATTCAGTTTATTTTCCAACCCGAGCAAAACAATTTGAGAAACAAAGCAGATTTCACTTTATTTCCACTGTGTTTCACACAACACCTCGGATGACACTTTGGACCGTGTTGTGACACATTAGACAAGCCCCTTAGAATATGAACACCCTGCATTTGTGTGGTGCTTTTCAGTTTACAGAGCACTTTGACATACCTGTTTTGATTCTGATATGATTTCATCAGACTGACAGGGGAGAGTTAATATGCCCACTCTAGAGAGGAGAAAACCGAGACACAGAGAGCTAACGTGGTGGCCCTAAGTCGTTGTGTCATCGGTGGGCCAAGGACCAGGGCCCAAGCATCCTGACTCCTACTCCAGGCTCATTTTACACCAATAGAAAACCTCACACTTTGAAATTTTAAAGTAAAATTCTTTGAAAGTGTTAATTACTTCATTTAGAAATTAATCGCCTGGCTTATTCATTCAGAACTACATATATGCAATTGTAAACAAATTAAAAAAGAGATCATGTTTTTGTCAGAAAACTAGCTAGATGACACACAGTGTGCAGTGATATTGAAGACAAGGGTGCCATTTTGCACAGTCACTGTGCTAATTACAACCACATTTAAACCAATAAAATGTATTTTTCCAAAAATTGGGTATGCACTGTTTTGATTAGGTCAACTCCCGACCATCAGATCTCTTTTTTGAAAAGGGTTATAACCAATGCTCTTTTGAAATCAAGGTTAGCAACCTTAGAACTTAAAAAAAATCTATTTGGATAAATAACTGCCTTACTTGCCTGGAAAATTCCTTCCTTCCTTCCTTCCTTCCTTCCTTCCTTCCTCCCTCCCTCCCTCCCTCCCTCCCTTCCTTCCTTCCTTCCTTTTAGATGAGTAGCTTATGCAGAGAGAGACAATCAAATGTAAAAAATTTCCACACTCTACAGATACTATAGATATGTGAACTCTGTCCTGGCATTTCCAGAATCAGAGACTTTTGAAGAGCCAGAAAAGAAACATTACATCAAAGACAAAGAAAAATAGAGGAAATAAAATACTACCTGGGTCTTCACATTTGGAAAAACCTACAGGAAGGAAGTAGTTCAGTATCACTTTGGAATATGGAAATTTAAACACGAGGCAGAATGTAGAACATTTTAATCGGCTGTTAATTGTAGCTTTTCCCCTTAATAAAGAGTGGCTGTCCAGTGTACTATGTTATTCTAGGGCCCACCTAGCAATTAATCCAGTTCCCCAGCTTCCCAGGAGCACTTGTGAAATTTCTGCTCACAAAGGGCCCTGACCTTTATCCGAGCTGTAGGGTAAGCAGATCCTGAACGTATTTCCGAAGAACCCCAAGGCACTGCCCACACTGCTCTCCAAAGGACACAGGAGACGCCGTCTGCTTCCTGGCCCTGCTGAAACACGGAGCGGGGCTTGAGGAAAGTCCACTTCCCAAAGCCAAATTCAGTGATGCTGAGTTGGAATAAAGGAAACTGGTCCTTTACTAGGATTTCTTTCTCATTATAATTCCTCAGCATCAAGGAAGGTAAAGCTACTTTGTGCCTCTCAGTTACTGATTTTTTCCCCAGGGAAAAGCTGAACATCAGTCAAGAGAGAATACGTGATACTTAGCAGCAAATTGGAAGTAGACAGCAAGCACTGCCCTGGCAGGCACACTCCTCAGCATCTCCTGAGAAGAACCAGTTCCGGCACCAAATAGCACGTTCCCAAGTGACCCTCAGCAGGAGCCTCCATCCCAAGCCACTGCAGGAAAGAGGCCATGTTTCAGATCAGTCACCCTGAGTCTCAGGTACATTAAGGTGACAAGCCAGTTGGTATTAAGGTCAACATGAGGTTCTCAAGTTATACTATATGAATATAGGTCTCCGCTGCAGTCAATATTTAGAGTCTGGCTGACGAGGGTTCTAGGGAAATAGGTACGTAAATTATAGGTGAGACCAACATTGGCCTTCTGACCTCAGTAGCCATAAGTGAAAAGTCTTCATAACGAACCTATGAATATTTGTAGCACAGTGAGATATCAATAAGGACCCCTCAACAGAGCGAGACTTGCCTATCCCATTCAAATAACTAGCTTTGGGGTCAGTCTGTCAGGCAGTACTCCCCCTCTTCTGCTACTTATGTAACCTGGTGAGGCATCTTCCTAATACTTCTAAGCTCAAAACATTCAAGGACCATCATCAAACTTTTCCCCAGAATTTGGAGTAAGTGCTGATTCTGAGTACAACCCCCAAATGTTATGAATTTGGGTAGCAGCTCCCACCTCCCAAAGATCAAGGATGAGGCACAACCATCCAAGGGATCAAGACTGGACTCTAGGGATTCAAAGTCAATGTCTGAAGAGGAGACTGTTGTGGAAAAATTAATTTTTAGTATTAAGTTTTAACTTTTATGGAAACACAATTTCCCCATACAAAAGGTAAACTTTATAAACTTGAGGCAAATGAGTCAGAATTTTGGAAGTTGGTGAAAATTCTCTCATGCTCTGTGCCCAAGTGGTCAATTTTTATTGCTATCATTTTCTTCAGAATTAACTGAG